AGACACACAGAGACACACACACAGACAGAGACACACAGACACAGACACAGAGACACACACACACACACACACAGACACACAGAGACACACACACACACACACACACAGACACACAGAGACACACAGACACAGACACACAGACACACACAGACGACACGCACATGCACACAGCCGTGTGCACTGGATGCTTGCTGTGGATCAGCACTGTGGCTGGTCTCTCCACAGCAGACCCAAGGAGTACGCTGTATATTCCCAGCACTCTCCAAGGTGGGGCGTGTGACTATTCCCTTTTACAGACTGAAGCACAGAAAGATCAGGCCACTCGCTGAGGGCCACATAGCTCCTGAAGCTTTGAGTTTTTGTACTTATTTTTGGATTGCTTGTTTTGTTGTTGTTGTTTGCCCAGGTTGGGCTCATTCTGCTCAGCCTCCCAGTGTGGGGAATGACAGACGAGCTTTAAACACTAGGTACAGTGAACTTTAAGCATGGACCAATACTCAGAAAAATGGCCTGACCTCACAGCTGGCTACCTGGCAGAGCTGAGAGTGTCCCAACTTCCGCTCTGTCCTTCCTGTTTTGACAGTGCCAGCGGAGGCTTTGGGCAGTTCCAGACAACCTATAATCGTCGAATGAGAGCCTCAGCTTCCAGCCCCTTTGTCATGGGGCTGGGTGTCCCCTCCTGCCTAGGTCCTGTCCTCCCAAGCACACTCTGGATCGTGGATGTGTTTCTTATGCATTAACTCTGAGATTCCCATCAGACTGGTGAGGTGGGTCTCAGGGGAACCGGGACAGAGCCAGTCAGGACTGCCATGTGAAGCCATGGCGTCGGTTCAGGGTCACACGGAGCATGTGGCTGTCTAGCTTCCCAGTTTCTCATGTCCGGGGGTGGTACTATTTCAGGACTCCAGCCTAGGGACTCTTTGCAGTTCAGTTCTGTCCTCTTAGCTGAGCGCTTTTTACCTAAGTCACTTACTCTCTCTGTGCCTCTTTGGCTGTAGAATCAGTTTAACAAGACTGTATCAAGATCAGAGGGTTGGTGGGATGGGTAGGAGATACAGTACTGAAAGGTAAGTTTGGGGCATGCCTTGCGCACACACAAAACGCTCAAAAACTGGTGCCTTCTATTATGCCAAACGCTTATTATTGTTTATCAGGTCACGCTGTGTCTTAGAGTTTTTATTACTATGAAGAGAGATTCCATGACCAAGCCTACTCTTTTCTTTTGGAGACAGGGCTTCTCTGTGTAGCCCTGGCTGTCCTGGAACTTGCTCTGTAGACCAGGCTGGCCTGGAACTCACAGAGATCCGCCTGCCTCTGCCTCCCTGAGCGCTGGGATTACAGGTGTGTGCGCCACCACACCCCAGCTTTGTTGCTTTTTTTTTTTTTTTTTTAATGATTTTTAGTGTATGTGTGTGTGTGTGTGTGTGTGTGTGTGCGCGCGCGCGCGTGCGTGCACCCGAGTACAGGTACCCACAGAGCCCTGGAGAGGGTGTCAGATCCCCAAGGCGCTGGCGTTCTAGGCAATTATGGGCTTCCCAGTGTCCTCTGCAAGAGCAGTAGTTAAGGGCACTTCTCTGACCTCCGTGGACACCAGCACGCATGCGGTGCACTCCCACACCCGCAGGAAAACACTGACATACGTCAAATAAGAAAGTCTAAAAACCCAAAGCAACAAAAAAGCATTTAAAAAACGGGGGTAAGGGTAGGAGCTGGAGATGGCTCAGTTGTGAGCTGCCATGTGGGTGCTGAAACAGAACCCGAGTCCTCTGCGAGAGCAAGTGCTCCTACCCACGGGGCCATCTCTCCAGCACCTCCTCCTTTGACACAGTGTCTCCTGTAGTGTGTAGCCTAGGGTGGCTTTGAACTCCCGACCCTCCTCCCAAGCTCTGCGATCACGGGAGGGTATGACTAACCATGCTCTGCTGAGATAGCATTTTGCTAATGTAGTATTGGACTAGTAATTACTATGTAGCCAACCTGGCTTGGAACTATGGCAACGCCCCTCCCTCAGTAGGTGCCATCGTGCCTGGCTCACTCTATTCTCACTTCTCCCTTTTCTTTCTCCCCCACTCCATTCCAGCTGCCCTGACCCTGTGACTCCTTGAATGCATCCGTCATGCTTTTATCTCGCTCTAGACTTTCACCATCGCAATTCTTTCAGGTCCTGCTTAAATGCTAGCTTGACCATCCACGCACAATTCCAATACAGCCTTCTTCTCTGGGATTTTTTTTTTTCTCCTACAGCAATTTTATTTTTTGGGGGGGTGGGGTGGGGAGAGGGCACGGTCTCATGGAGCCCAAGCAGGCTCTTAACTATATAGCTGGCCTTCATACTGCTTTCTCGTTCGACTATTATGTCTTAGAAAATACTGCAAATCTCTTCTGTCCTCACTGCCTGGCTTTTCCCATTGTAGTATCAGCTGCAAGGAAACAGTTTTTGGTCTGCGCCTCAGTCCTTAAACCAACACTTGGAACAACAACAAAAACACTCAAGAGCTAGCTAGGTGTGGCGGTGCACACTCGTAACCCAAGCAACAGGCGAGGAAGCCGGAGGTCAGGTGTTCATAGGCACCCCTGGCTACACAGAAAATGGGAAGCTAGCCTGGGACACATTTCATCCTTTCTCAGAAAACAAAACAAAACAAAAGTACCTAGGAGCTGTGCTTGTGAATCAACTGTAGGAAATGAACTGTAGGAAATTCAACATTCCATTCTTCCTGCATTCCCAATGTTACTATTATTGAAACAACTACTCCAGGTGGATTTTATTTTTATTTTTAAGAATTTATTCTTGTCTTTATTCACTGAGCTCACAAGCATGCAACCATGCCTTGTTAATTAGTTAATTAATTAATTACTTAGTTTGTGTGTGTGTGTGTGTGTGTGTGTGTGTGTGTGTATTTTAAACCCAAGGTTTATCTGTGCAGCCTTGGCTGTCCTGAAACTCACCTATAGACCAGGCTAGCCTCAAATGCAGAGGTTCACCTGTTTCTGCCTCCTGAGTGCTGGGATCAAAGGGAAGCACCACCACTACCTAGCTCCATGCCTTGTTGTTGCTGGAGTTTTAAGTTTTGGAATTACAAGAGCTTTGTGTTCTAACCCATTAACATTCTGGATTTATATGTTCTAATCTGCCCTTGGGTTCTAAAACTGTACCTCAACCTTCCAAGATGGGTGTGAGCTACGATTCTAGTGTTTTAAGGAATTGTTTAGGGTTTCAGCAACCTAATATCCTGATGGGCTGGAGTTCTAAGACTGTGACGCCCTAAAATTTCAAGATACAAAGATGGGATGCAGCTCAGTGGTTAGGCCCCTGCTTAGAATTCCCCAGTGAGGGGCTGGGGTGTGGCTCAGTGGTAGAGCCCCTGCCTAGAATCCCCCCAGTGAGGGGCTGGGGTGTGGCTCAGTGGTAGAGCCCCTGCCTAGAATCCCCCAGTGAGGGGCTGGGGTGTGGCTCAGTGGTAGAGCCCCTGCCTAGCACCTGTGAGGCCCTGGCTTCAATTCCAGCACTTTGGGGTGTGTAAAACATTATGTACTGATAGGGGAGGTCCTCCTCTCCTTCCTTCTGATCTTAGTCTATCAGATCTTATCAGGAGTGGCTGCATTGTCATCTTCTGATTTGGGGAGGGGCATGCGTGAAGAAGGGGGTGGGAGAGTGGGATTGGGAGGGGAGGAGGGAAGGGCTTATGGGGGATACAAAGTGAATAAAGTGTAATTAATAAAAATAAAAAATTATATTAACAAAAAACAAAAAAACCCCAAAACATTATGTACTAGAATTTCAAGATGTACATGAAGCCTTCGCATTCTAAAGTTCTAGTTTTCTTACTTGCTGGAGTTTCAGTTTGCTGCTCTCATATTCTGGAATTCCACATGCTAATATAAATTTTTAAAAAGATTTATTTATTTATTAGTTAGACAGTGTTCTGCCTGCACGTGTGCCTACAGGACAGCAGAGGGCACCAGATCTTATTATAGATGGTTATGAGCCACCATGTGGTTTCTGGGAATTGAACTAAGAACTAAGAACCTTTTGGAAGAATAGCCAGTGCTCTTAACCTGGGAGCCATCTCTCCAGCCCTCTCCCCGCCAACTCCCCTTAAACAAAACAAAACAAAACAAAACAACAACAACAACAACAAAAACAGGCCGTAGAGATGGCTCTGAGGTTAAGAGCACTGGTTGTATATCCAAAGGTGTAGACCAGGCTGGCCTTGAACTCACAGAGATCCATCTGTCTCTGCCTCCTCAGTTCTGGGATTAAGGTGTATGCCACCACTACCCGGCTAATTTTTTCTACCTTAATAGTTTGTTTGTTGTTTTTTTTTTTTTTTTCCTGTTGCTTGTGATAAAATAGTCTACAGCCAGATACGGTGACACACATTTTATCCCAGCACTTGGGAGGCAGAGGTAGATGGATTTCTGTGAGTTTGGGGCCATCCTGGTTTTCTTAAAATAATCTTCAAAGGCTGCTTAAGGGAGAAGGTGTTTAATCTGGCTCACAGTTCCAGTGTCTGGTCTATTATGGAGGGAAAGTCAAAGTGCCTGAAGTAGCTGATCACATTGGAACCAGGCAAGAAACACTAGTGATAAATGCGTGCTGCTTGCCCACACGCTTTTCCTATTTATTTTTATTGTATCTCACTAAGAAAATCTTTATTTTTATTTTGCGTTCTGCGTGAGTGTGTATGTGCTGCCTGGCACACGTGTGGAGGAGGTCAGAGGACAGCTTTTTATAGTCAGTTCTCTCTCACCGTGTGGCTCTCAGGGTTGAACTCAGGTCATCAGGTTTCGCTGCACGTGCGCTGCACGTGCCCTCAACTCACTGAGCCATCTTGTTGGCCCTCTTCCTCCCAAGCCGGGTAACAATCCTTCCCACAAGCACCATGGTTCTTCCAACATCAATTAGCACGCCCGTGTGCGAAAATACAGCTCCCATGGCATTCCTAAGAGGCCCACCTCCCAGCTTCTAGAATCTGCCAAGTTGCCCGAAACTATCACAGCATGCTGGTACCCTGGTGCTCAGGCATCCGAACGTCATAGTATTGGTGTCCCTAGCCTGAGGCTGCTGGGCCCGCCCTGCCTCAGGACAGCAAGGTTCTTGGAGTTTTTCCATTGACGTTTCCTCCTGTCTGTCCCTTGCAGGTTTCTGGGGGCCAGGATGATGAACCATACCACCAACAATGATTATGATTACGAGTACGATCAGGAAAATTACATTGACCTTCCGGACGTCCCTGTAGACTGCCTGGCTGGCCACTGCTCCTTTAGTGATGTCTACTTCATAAGCCTGCTTCTGCTGTACGCAGCCATCTTCCTGGTGGGTGTCCCAGGCAACAGCCTGGTGGCCTGGGTGACCTGGAAAGAGAGCCGCCACAGGCTTGGGGCCTCCTGGTTCCTGCACCTGGCTGTGGCTGACTTGCTTTGCTGCGGGTCTCTGCCCTTCCTGGCTGTGCCCATTGCTCAAAAGGGCCACTGGCCATACGGGGCAGCAGGCTGCTGGCTGCTGTCCTCTGTCACCATGCTGTCTATGTACGCCAGTGTGCTGCTCCTGACCTGCCTCAGCGCCGACCTCTTCCTCCTGGCTTTCAGGCCCTCCTGGAAGACGGATCACCGGACACTTGGGGTGCGGGTGGCCCAGGTCTCCTCCTGGATGCTGGCCCTGGTGCTGACTGTGCCTTCTGCTGTCTACCGCAGACTGCTCCAGGAGCACTTCCCTTCCCGGCTCGTGTGTGTTACAAACTATGGGGGATCAGCCACGGCCGAAGCCACCATCACCGCTGTCCGGTTTCTCTTTGGCTTCCTGGGACCACTGGTGTTCATGGCGAGTTGCCATGGCATCCTCCAGTGGCAAATGACCCGACGCCACTGGCCACTCAGCACAGCTGTAGTGGTGGGGTTTTTCATTTGCTGGACCCCTTTCCACATCCTGAGGGTCATAATCACGGTGGCTACGCCATCCTCCTCACTCCTTGCCCGGGCCCTGGATGCTGAGCCTCTGGTTACGGGCCTGGCCCTTGCTCACAGTGCTCTCAATCCCATAATGTTTTTGTATTTTGGAAGAAAACAACTCTGCAAGTCACTCCAGGCTGCATGTCACTGGGCCCTGAGGGATCCACAGGACGAGGAAAGTGTGGCGAGCAAGGCATCCACCAGCCATGAAGTAGTGTCTGAGGTGCCAGTGTAGGCAATCGGGATTTTAATTTCCTTGGCCGTGTCACAATTGTGTAAGCTCCAGGCAGAGCTGGATCCAGGAGCTCAGTGATGGCTTTTTCTTCATTTAATAAACATTCACCATGCACTTGCGTGTGCAAAGCCCTGATATCCATGTAAATGCTGGGGGTGACAGAGGACCGAACCGATTCCTACCCCCAGGACTTAGCATTTTGTGAGGAAGACAGATAGGAAGCAGCTGAAGAGATATGGGCGACGTTAAGGGTGAGACGCTCGTAGAACCTAAAGGTGCTGGGGAGATTGCTCAAGTGCCTGCTGTCCAAACAAGAAGGCTGGAGTGTGAGCCCCACCACCAGCTCGAGAGCTGGGGACGGCAGCACACCTGGAACCCGGCACTGAGGGGACAGGAGGACCCTGGGGTCCTCCAGACAGCCGGTCCAGCCCAGGCAACAACCCCACTAAGAGACCCTGTCTCAAGAAATACAGTGGAGCTGGGCACAGTGGTGAGCCCTTTACTTACAAGCATTTGAGAGGCAGAGTCAGGTGGATGCCTGTGAGTTGTAGGCTGTGCTGATCACAATGAGATCCAGGAGAACACTGGATGAAGTTATCCAGCCTTGACCTTAGGCCTACACACACACACACACACACACACACACACACACACACACACACACACGGAGTGAGTCAGCCAGACTAGCACCCTGAGAAAAAGTAATGACTGGGCCAAAACCGGTATCCTGGAGAGAGGATCCATGCTTAAATCTGGGGAACTGTGCCATGCAGACAGAGCTTCTTTCCCCAAGAAGCCCCTCCCTGACTTGCATCCCTCCCGGAAACAGAGGCGCATCCTTTTTCTCAATCTCTTCAACACAAATGCCCAGATAAACTCTAAATTCCCTAAAGGTGAGAGCTGCACTTACGCCACCTTTTAAATTTTGTATTACATCGAATTATTTATCGCCTGTGTTAGGAAGCGTGGGGGGAGGGGTGTGTGTAGTTAGAGGGCAATCCCATTCATCACGTGGGTCCTGGGGCTTGAACTCAGGCTGTCAGGCTTGGCTGCAAGCACCTTTATCTGATGAGCCATTTCACCAGCCCTGAACCCCCAGTTTTGTCTCTTCTCCCCAACTCTGGCTGAGAAAGCGCTGTCTACAGTGCTGGTCTGTGGGCTTGTGGATGTTGCTGACGGCTTTTCTTGTCTTTTGTTCGAGAGAATCTTTAGACAGTTTTATTTGAACACCTCGTGCAGGCATGTACACTGAGCGACCCACCATCATCCCCAGGGTTGCAGGATTTTGAACACCTCTGGTATGCTGTGTCCAGCCAACTCTCCTCCACATTCCTAGGGTTTGCCTTTGGTTATCTTCTTTGATTTTGTTTGTTTGTTTGTTTGTTTTTTGAGATAGGGTCTCCTATGGCCCAGAATGTCTTTGAACTCACTATGCAGCTAAGGATGACCTTCAGCATTCTCCAAGTGCTCGGGCTACAGTCCTGTATTCCCACGCCTGGTTTATGTGGTGCTGGGGCTCAAACCCAGGTCTTCATGCATGCCAGGCGAGTGCTCTGTCAACTGAGCCACGTCCTCGGTTCTCACCAGGGGATTCTAGGCAGATGTCCTTGTACTGAGCGCCAGCCCCCCTCCCCTCGAACAATGTACACACCTGTCTGTCTGAAAAGTTCAAAGAATTTTTGGTTAGTTTACTGGGACAAAAGAGCCTTTTCAGAAGGCTTTAAAAATTTTTTAAACTACATTATGAGGGTTTCCATTTAATTTTTTGGCCTTAAAAAATGAAGAAAATTCATGAGAGCTTTTAAATGTATTTCTGTGCAATTATACATAAAATCTGTTAATGTTAAAATTACTGTTTTTTGTTGTTTATTGTAAACTTTCTCTTGTTCAGACTGTTATGTAATAATTTTTACAAACTGAAAACAAGAGATACTCCTTAAAAATCAGGCAGTAAACAACACACAAGTCTCAGAGATTCCTCAAACTGACTGCATACACTGGGTCCCGTCTTCCCCAAGTGTTCCAGTCTTCTTTCTGCTGCCCTGATAAAGCACGCTGAAGTCAGGCAGGGACTTGAATACAGGGGTCGTGAGGAACACTACCTCCATGCTAGCTCTTTGCTCATGCTCAGATAGCTTTCTCATTCGCCCCAGAACACTTGCCTAAGGAAGGTGTCACCCACAGTGGGCTCAGCCCTCTCACATGAATCAAGACACTATCACACAGACATAGCCACAGGCCAGTCTGATAAAGGCACTTCTTTAGTTGAGGTTTCCTCTATGCAAGTGTCTCCAGGTTATGTCAGGTGGACAGTAAAACCTAACTAGGACACCAAGCTTATATAATTGGTGTCTTAGTTTCAGCTTTATTGCTGTGAAGAGACATCATAATCACAGCAATTGTTTTCTTTTCTTTTTATTTGGTTTTTGGAGACAGGGTTTCTCTGTGTAGCTCTGGCTGTCCTAGACTTGTTTTGTAGACCAGGCTGGCCTCAATCTCCCTGAGATCTGCCTGCCTCTTCCTCCCCGAGTGCTGGCATTACAGACCTGTGCCACCGCACCCAGCTCACAGCAACTCTTACAAAGAAAAACATTGGACTGGGGCTGGCTTACAGTTTCAGAGGTTTAGTCTGTCTTGTCCAGCAGGAGTTCAACGAGTTCCTAAGGAGGAGCGAAAAGAATGAAATAGGGACAAGGAGATACAAAGAATGAGAGCAAGTCTATAGTCTGATCTCACTCTCGTTTATTTGAAAAATTCCACACAACTTTATAGGGAGAAGGCAGGAAGGGAAAATGTGCCAGCAATATAGTTTACAAAACATAACAGGGTGATTAATGATGATGCAGAACACCGAAAGAATGTTTACTAAAAGAGATACTACAAGCGTGTCAGCTAAGATAGCTCAAAATGTCTAGCCTGATGCACAGATGTCTCATAGGTTCCGGAAACGTAAATCTCTCACCTATGACCTTGTTGCAGCTGTCTGTAACTTTCCAATAGCTGGCCTTGGCTCCCGGCATCTCCTCCCTTTCTCAAATAATTTAAGAGGCTAGCAGGTAGGTTATGAACATGAGGTATTTTGAAGACAGTGGGCATTAACCAGAGGGGGGAGGGAGTAGAGACCTGATCCTCCCAGGGCGTTTTGCAGCCTCTTTGGGTGTCTTTTTGGGGAGGAGAGGAAGACTCCATCAACACCTGAGGGCATCCCCAGCAGGTTGTGGTTAGGGGTAATCAGACACCAACCTCTATGCAATCAGGTTTGCTTCTCGGGGAACTCAGAAGCAGACAATTGGGTCCTTCCCCTGCGGTACCTTGTCCTACACTCCTGTGGTGCCCATGCCACATCAGGCAAGCATTTATCTGAGTTTTATGCTTTCTCATGAGAGCCAAACGCAATCAAGACTCATGTGATGGACTGTTACAGTTTTCCTCGGGCTCAGCTAAGCCTCTGTCAGCCAAATCAAGTCTGTGATAATGAACTTGTATGGGTTTAGATGCCAGGGAGTCAATTTGTTCTTTTACAAAGCTAGTAAGCCTTTGGATGGCCCATGGGCAGAAAGATATGAGAAGAAGGAAGCCCACCATGGGTCCCAAGATTGAAGGGAGGAGAGTAGTGAGCCAGGGAGAGGTTGAGAACCAATTATGAAACCAACTTTCCTCTTGCTCTCTCTTTTTCTCCTCTCTAAGCCCTCTCTAACTTTAGCCATGCTGTCTTTCACAACCCCAGAATAGTCCGTGTAAAAGCAACATTCTTCCTTGAGGGCAGCACATAGCAGTCATCTTGACTGGCAGGGTCTTCTTTGACATCATTATCATTATCAGGAGTAAACTCCTCATCCACTTGTTGCACCAGACGTTCCAGTAGCCATCAAGCTGCATCCTTTTCCTGTGGAAAAAACACAGACAGCTCCTCGTCCCCATATGAGTACAGGGTCGGGTCCATGCCATTGAGTTGTTAAAGGATTTCTTCATTTTACTTTAGCAAAAGTTATTTTTGGTTTCTGTATGCCAAAATCTATCTGCTGCATATTTACCATGCTTATCCAAATTTTAAAAATTCAGATTTAATTTTTTTTTTAATTTAGGTGTCCAGGGGAGTGGCTCCCCCTTTTTTGTTTTTTGCAAGTAAATCTTAATTGTTTAGTGGGCACATTCTAGCATGCCTTGTCCTTCAGGATTGTAAGATATTCCAGTTATATGAGAAACTTGAAACTGTTGACAAAATCTTTTAAAAGATTTGTTATTATATCTTGCTTCATTGTCAGTTTTTAAATTGCTTAGGAAATCTTAGAACATTGAAAGCCTGTAGACAATGAGCAATAACATTTTTTGTAGCTTCTCCTGGTTGAGGAGTGGCAAAAATAAATCCAGAATAGGTATCTATGCAAACCTGTACATATTTTAAATTTTCCAAATTTAGGAATATGAGTAATATCCATTTGCCAAATTTGATTTGGAACCAGTCCTTTAAGGTTGACTCCCAAACGAGGAAGAGGCTGAAATTGAGGACAAGTACTGCAAGCCTTGAATATAGTATGGGCCTATTCTTTAGTCAACTCATATTTAAGTCTCAGGGTTTGACTATTAAGATGATGCATGCTATGGGCATCCTGGGCTCTTTAACTGTGAACAATAAACTTTGGTGGCTTTATCTGCCAATGCATTTCCTTCAGACAGGGGTCCTGGCAAATTAGAATGAGCCCTCGAATGTCCTATAAAAAAAGGAAAGTTTCTTTCTTGTATCAAGTTTGAATTTGTAAAAAGAAAATTCCAGCAGGAGAAAATATCTGAATTTGACCTGAAGTCTCTAACCTAGGCAAAGACTGAGCTACATATACACCATCTGTAAAAATATTTAAAGACTGCTTATTAAAAATATGAAACACAGCCAATACTGCAGATAACTGCTATTTGCGGAGATGTGCTAGACACTTGAAAAGACATTGTTTTTCTTTTCATAAGTACAGGCAGCAACACCAGATAATGAATCATCAGTAAATACTGTTAAAGTATCAACAATTGGAATAACTTTTGTTTTAAATGGAAAAACTATAGGTTGTACCTTTAAAAACTGAATTAATTTGTTTTCTTGTGGCTCAACAGGTTGGACTCTGTCATAATAAACTTACATATGTTAAAATGCCATATTTTTCAGATCTTTGACAAGTCTGAGAGCCAGCATATTTGAGTTACTCTTTTTCTACCTTTATCATCTGCTCTAAACTGCATCCCATAAAACAGGATGTTATAATCTTTAATTTTGGCATATACTTTAAATGTATGTTTTAGAACCAAATATTAGGTAGATCTATATAGGCAAATTTTATGGTTACCGATTTTAATATTAACCTTAAAAAAACAACCTAAACAAAGAGATTAGGTAAAATTTAATTTGTACTCAACTATAATCTTTAGCATAACATAATCAAAACAAAAATTTTTAATTAAACATAATTTATAAAGGGGCTAGCAAATCTTATTAATCCTATCATATTGTATTAAAGCTTAACAGCAAAAAAAATTAAAGGACAAAAGTTTTATTTAGTATTAAACAGAGAAATATACTTAGCCTGCAGCCTTCAGTGAAAATAGACTATTCTGGCCATACCAAATCTATAGGCCAGAAAGAAACAGCATTAAATCATTTATTTTAGGTACCGGCAGCCAGGCATATATTTTATATAATTGTTAACAATGATCTGAATATAACCCTGCATAACAGTGGGCTAACATGGAGCTGTAGTCCTTTTTGTCCTGTAAAAGAACCTAAGCGAACATTTTGCACTCAAGAATCTCCAGCCTTCTTAAATGAAGAACAACATATTTTATATTTTTTGACATGACATATTGTACTAACTGCAGTTTTTGTTTAATTGGCTTAAACAGCATGACTTGATTTTACCTTGTAAAATTAATAAAACAAATATCAAGGTCTTTTGACCTCCCCCAAAGGGTTGAGAAACTGTTTTTAAGTTTTTTGTTAGACTGTCCAAGGATTATTATTTTAAAATACCTGAGAAATGTTAAAATGTTTTATAGAGTTTAACTCTGATGGTCCAGGACCAAACTCAGAGGTGTTGATTTAAACTGTCTCATGTCCAAAAAATATTAATATCGTCAGTCAGATTTTAAAATATCATCATTTTAAGTCCACATATAAACACATACACACATAGATTCCAGAAGGAGCAGAGCCCCCATGGCCCTTTCCCCAGGATCTGGGGTGTCCCCCAGACTCCTTTGACCAGATTGGAAAGTCTCCAAGTTTTTCAGACCTTGAAAGCAAACTGAAACCAAAAACAAAAACAAACAGCCAGCAAACAAAAACAAAACACAGAGACAAAGACAAGAACAACCATGGTACCTGCTTTTTAAACATTTAAATATTTTTAAAACCTGTTTTTGCAATATTAAAACAAACCATTCTCTTTAGGAGTGAGTTTATAGAGCATAACCATGATTTCAAAAGTCAGAACTAGATTTAAAACTCAGAATTTATCAGTACACACAATTTAATCTTTAAAACTGGAAGTGGCTCCATCCCCTGGCCCCTGTCCGAGAGCCGAGAGCCGACACTGACTGACGCCCGCCCGTGGGAGGAGAGATGAGAGGAGGAAGGGGGCAGGGTGATGCCGCTCAGCTCAGCAGCCGATTCTGAGGGTGTGAGCGTTCCATCCAGCCTAGTTCTTCGCACTAAGCCATGAAGCCTAGCCCTCTGTAGGGGAGGGGGAAGAAGAAGTGCAGTGTCCCCCGTTCTTCTGCTCACCGAGCTATGAGCTATGGGCCCCCATTCTGAGCTTTCTACCCTGGCCCGCCTGGAGGTCTTTTGTTGTTGTTGTTCGGGTTAGAGGGAGGCAGGCGCAGGAGGCCAGTCTGAAATATGAGACTTGGCAGTTTCTTCCTCTGACTGTTTTATACTCATTATCTAGAGCTTTTCTCCTAAACCATTTTTTGCTTTTAAATTACAGAAATCTGTTTGAGCTCCTTTATGACCATTTGAAATAACCTTAGAAATACTTTTTTTTTTCCTGCCTGTTTGGGTGCTCTAATCTTTCAAGCAGCTCTTTAGCTTGTGATTTTCTTTTTTATTTACCCTTACTCCTTGTGTCTTGAAGGACTCCTTGAGACACTGTAAGAATAAGTCATGCTTACTCAACTCTTGTCCCATAATTCGTCGTTCTGACTTACCTCTCCAGATCAGACTCACAGATGGGTGGCTCTGTGGAGATCTCTTATGCAGGATCTTCACTCACTTCTCCTGTAGAAGCGGTGATCCTATGAACTTGTGTGGGCCCACAAAGAACGACGTTCAATTCGTTCAATTTGATCCCCATGCCTCAGCCCCACTTTGGGCGCCAATTATGTCCCATCCAGCAGGAGTTCAACTAGTTCCTAAGGAGGAGCGAAAAGAATGAAATAGAGACAAGGAGACACAAAGAATGAGAGCAAGTCTATAGTCTGATCTCACTCTCGTTTATTTGAAAAATTCCACACAACTTTATAGGGAGAAGGCAGGAAGGGAAAATGTGCCAGCAATATAGTTTACAAAACATAACAGGGTGATTAATGATGATGCAGAACACCAAAAGAATGTTTACTAAAAGAGATACTACAAGCGTGTCAGCTAAGATAGCTCAAAATGTCTAGCCTGATGCACAGATGTCTCATAGGTTCCGGAAACGTAAATCTCTCACCTATGACCTTGTTGCAGCTGTCTGTAACTTTCCACTAGCTGGTCTTGGCTCCCGGCATGAGTCCATTACTGTCATAGTGGGAGACATGGTGGCATGGCACTAGAGAAGGAGCTGAGAGGTGGACATCTTGATCTGCAGGCAGCAGCAAGAGGCTGTTCTACTGGGTATGGCTTGAGCACATGAGACCTCAAAGCCTGCCTCCATGGTGACATACTTCCTTTAACAAGGCCACGCCTCTTTATGTTGCCGCTGAGTTAATGGGGGCCATTCTTGGTCAAACCACTGTATCCCACTCCTTGGCCCCTGTCAGCTTGCAGCAATACCATAACGCAGAAATGCATTCACTGCAGCTTCAAAGGTCTCCACAACCTATACAGTCTCAAACTTGTTAAAAGTCCAACGTTCAAAGTCTCTTCTTTGAACTCTCTCCACTGTAATCTCCTGTAACGTCAAAATAAAAGAGCAGATCACATACTTCTAATATATAATGGCACAGGGTATATATTACCTTTCCAAAAGGGCAGGGAACGAAGCATGCTGAGGAAATACTGGACCAAAGCAAGACAAAAAGCCAGCCGGGCAAATCCAAACTCTGCATCTCTACATCTTCAGCTCTCAACTCCTCTCTGCTGACTGCCATGTACTTCTTCCTCTAGGGCTGGCTCCACTCCCTGTTTACAGCTCTCCTGGGCAGGTAACCCACAGCTCTGTCAGCTCCAACATGTTGGGGCTCCAAGGCAAGCCGGACTTCACCTGCCCAGCTTCACGCAACAGCCTTACTGGGCCTCCATGAGCTACACCCCTGCCACATACCCGGCCTCAGTGGCTTTCCTTAGTCATGAGGGTGGGGATGGGCGAGATTCCACAACTCCTTACTTCTATTCTTGGCTGTAAAGCCAGAACAACATGGCCAAAGCTGCCAAGTCCTGCTGCCTCCTGGGACTGGAACATGGCCCCTTGTTCAATTACATCTTTAGCAGCTTTCTGCTTTTGCTGGTTTCCATCACGGCCCAAGCCTCACTGTCCTGGAACTCGCTCTGTAGACCAGGCTGGCCTCAAACTCAGATATCCTCCCGCCTCTGCCTTCTGAGTCCTGGGATTAATGGTGTTCTCCACCACACCTAACTCTAAGCTTTTCTTTAATTCATTTTCCACTTCTCTTTAATTCCCTTTGACTTTTCTTTATTTCCTTTCCACACGTCGGAAGCTTAGCCGGTGCCCTGAGGTCACTACTTCCTTTATTCCATTTAACACCCTCTTGTCTTTCATCATTTTAATCCTTGATCACTAGATTTGGCTCTACTCTACTTCCTGATGCCCTTTTCTTCTCAAATTGCACATTTTGGGTTTTGCTTGCCTAGCTTGCTCCTTTGCATTTCAGATCCTCTTAAGATTGTACACTACTAACCACATGACAGCCTCAGTGGTCAGCTGTTCTGAGATTTCCTCTGCTGACAGAATTAATCCAAAAATTCCATTTCCTCAGGCAGACTTTTCACATTAAGGGCAGAAAGTAGCCGCATTCTTCACTAACTATCACAAGAACAGTCTCTAGGTCACTTACTAACATTCTTCTCCTCTGTAACCTCTTGAGCTGGCCCCCAGAGTTCAAATCGCCCTTAGCAACACTGTTTTCCATGTTCCTACTCATATGGCCCATTAACCCCACCTACAGCTCAGCTGTTTTCTATTCCAAAGTCCCCACATCCACATTCCTCCAAACTAAAGCACGGTCAGGCCTATCACAGCAATACCCCATTCCTGGTACCAACTTCTGTCTTAGTTATGGCTTCTATTGCTGTGAAGAGACACCATGACCAGGACAACTGTTATAAAGGAAAACATTTAACTGGGGCTGGCTTACAGTTCAGAGGCTTAGTCCGTTATTTTCATGGTGGGAAGCATGGTGGTGTGCAGGCAGACATGGTGCTGGAGAAGGAGCTGAGAGTTCTCCATCTTGATCTGCAGGTGACAGCAGGAGGCTGTATCAATGGGTGTGGCTTGAGCATAGAGGCGACCTCAAAGCCTATTTCCAGTGACATACTTCCTCCAACAAGGCCACACCTCCCAAGAGTGCCACTCCCTATAGGCCAAGCGTTCAAACTCCCAAGTCTATGGGGACCACTCCTGTTCAAACCAGCACAGTGAGGGCTGCCGAGGAGAGGAGAGCCCTCTGACAGTGGTGCTGCCTTTGAGCTGTGCAGAGAGCTCCAGTGTTCCGGCCTTCCTACGCTACTGCTCTTTCTGGGGCAGGTGTTATGTGATGCAGCTCCTGAGTGTCCATGCTTCTCCAAGTAACCCTTCACCCTTGTAACCTCTCACTCCTTTGTAAGTAACACCCACAAGTGCACTGGTTCACCAAGCTGGACCTCAGGGACAGCCTTGCTTTGGGTTGTCATCAGCCCCTCTCTGGCATGAGTAGACATTTGTCCATGTCTCTTCAGGAGTAGTGTTGCATGATAGAAAGCTGAGTTATTTATTTATGATTGCTTTTTACGCGTATGGATGTGCTGGTGTGTGTAAAGTCTTGGTGCAAGCATGGGTATGTATGGAGGAGGATGGCGGTTCACACTGGGTGACTTCCCTTAATACTCTTCACCTTACAAAAAAAAAGATTTAAAATTGTTTGTTTTATGTGCATTGGTGTCTGCCTGTATGTGTATCTGTGTCAATATGTCAGATTCCCTGGAACTAGAATTACAGACAGTTGTGGGCTGTCAGCTGAGTGCTGGGACTTGAACCCCAGTCCTTTGGAAGAGCACCCAGTGCTCTTAACTGCTGAGCCATCTCTCTAAGGAAGCCCCAGGAATCAGACCCTCCCTGTCTCCACCCTCTCAGTGCTAAGGTTGCAGGTGTGTGAGACGGTTATTGGCTTTTTATATGGGTAACGGGGATCCAGACTGAGGTCTTCCTGCTTGAGTGGCAAATATCTTACCCACAGAACCATCTTCTAGCCACAATTTGTGTGATTTTTAAAATCTTTGGTTTTCTGAGACACTGTCTCTCTCCATAGCTCAGGTTGGCCTTCAGACTCATGGAAGGCCTCCTTCTCTAACTTGTCAAGTGTGGACAGGGGTCCCATGCCCACACTGCCATAGCTGGCTTGTGCCAATTTCTTAACATAAAAAACTTCCTTAAGTTTTCAGTGAATCACATATCACTGATGTTTCAAAGAACCGCTTGGGTGGTGGCTTCTTCCTTAACTATGGATTTGATAGTTATTTCCTTCCCTTTTCTTTTTTCAGAAAAATGTAGTCAGCTGAGCTGTGATGGCGCACACCTTTGATCCCAGCACTTGCAAGGCAGGTGCAGGTGATCTCTGAGTTTGAGGCCAGCCTGGTCTACTGCGTGAGTTCCAGGACAGCTAGGACTGCGCAGAGAAACCCTGTCTCCAAAAAACATAATAAACAAACACCCTCCCCCCAAATTAAGAAAATGTAGTTTTTCTTTGAAAGATTTAAAAATTGCTTCATTTATTCTGTGTTTTTCTGATGGTTATGACTAATCTGGGTCCTGTATGAGTTGTTTTCCAATTTTTTTTTTTTTT